CAAATATTGTAGTAGTAAGAAATCAAGGGGAACATAGCATGAAGAAAAATAAGAAGGATAAAATATCAAAAATCTCATGTAAAATAGTAGATTACATGAATAATAGTAAAAAAAATATATAGGGAAATTAAATAGACAAATATAAACAATTTGGTTCAGGTATTTGCCTTTAATTGCTAACATCACGCATTAGAAATAATTGAAATAAGATTTAGCAATGCCCTTCAGTACAAACTGAATTATTAAAAAGATTTGTGAAGAATAAGAAGAAAAAAAGAAATGAAAAAAAAGAACGAAACAAAAATATAATAGTAAAAGAGAAAAATGGTTTAGATCAAAACCAATCCCTAAAAAGTAACTCAAATTTTTGAGAACAAAGCAAATTAATCCCAGAAGACTAACTAAAATATTTGATAACAAGACAAAGAGAATAGAAAAAGAAGAAATATTTCAGTGGTAAAAAAGTAAGTAAATAAAATCTCAAAAACTCCATAAACATAAAAATGAGTTCAACTAGCGAACCAACAACAGAGGCATCAGTAAAAGAATAGAACAAAAACCCTTCATTAAAATCAGATAAAGAGCAAATCATTTTAGAGTAAAAAATGATAATAAGAATAATATACTGTTGACAAAATATAATAAATAAAAGAACATAAATCTTAAATAATCCGGGCAATGTCAAATCTTGCTAAATCACTATAAACAGTTATTTAATACATGGTAACAATAAAAGAAAAATACTACATCATTACCAAATGAGAAATCACATTAGATAGAGAACAGAGTATTAACAGATTAATATAATAAATAGAATACAAATCTAATTTTTACTCAAATAGCAATAACTTATATAATATAAATACTAAAGAATGTTTTACAAATAATATTAACAAACTTAATACAAACATAATCATAATAACATAAAACAATGAGTACATATATTAATAACTCAATATATATAGTTAAAAAAATATAGTAATATAATACATACAATTTTAAGAACAGTTAGAAATAACATGGAAGAAGTAAGAAAGGAGTACCTTAGAGCAATAACGAAAGTGGATAGAGTTGATGCAGGAGAAGTAAAAAAACTCCAAAACAGAGATAACAAAAAAGGGAAAAAAACTCACTATTGAAAATTGAAGAAAAGAAAGGAAACACAGAAGATAGACGGTAAGTGTATGACAACGAAAACAGAAACAAAGTAAAAGACAATAAGCATGAAAGAGAAAAAAATATATTTATAGAAAAAAATAAACTTTCGAGCATGTGGCGGTGGTAAATACTGGAAACAAAACTTAATACTACCGTTGTTACGTTGCAAAAAAAATGTAATAATTTGTTATAAACATGTGTTAGGCTGCATGATAACTACCGTGGAACAGAACGAACAAGCTGCAGACAGTGAAAACAAAATAATCCGTTAGAAAAAATTACCCTGCACTAAAAACAAATGTCTAAATATTTCCGACTAATATAACCTGCTAACAAATATGAAAATATGTAATAATTAGTAAAACGTAATAACCAACAAACGAATAAAAAATAACCAAAGTAGAGAAAAGAAGAAAAAAATAAAAGAAAAGTAGATTATTTCCAAGACCTAATGAAAAACAACCGAAATAAAGAAAAGAAGGAAAAAAATAAAAGGAAAATGGATTATTTCGAAGACCTAAACAACTAAACACAAAAAAGAACAAAATAAAAAAAGAAAAAAAAAGAGAAATAACAAAACCTTAAATGAAATAGAAGTAAAAAAAATTGACAGAACGAAATCTTAAAAAATTGACAGGAAAAAAAACACGAAATCTATTCCGAACAATAACAAAAAAAAGGGAATGAATAACAGATCAAAAGAAACTATACAATACTACTAAAACAAAACAAATCTGGAAATAAAAACTGAATGAAAAAACAAGGAAAAAAACTAACAGATAACTTTAACAAATAAAAGATCTGGAAATAAAAACACTAACAGATCTGGAAAAAAAGAAATAAAAAACTGAAAAAAAAACGGAGCCAAATCTACAAAAACACTAACAGATCTGGAAAAACAAAAAAAAAATGAATTAAAAAAAACAGGGGAAAAACGAAGTAAAAACACTAACAGATCTGAAAAAAGGGAAAAACCCGAATAAAAAATGGAAGAAAAAACAAGCCAAATCTACAAAAACACTAACAAGATCTGGAAAAACGGGTGAAAAAAAACCGAATCAAAAAATAGGAAAAACAAAGAAGCTAGATCTAAGGAAAGAGAAACGAAAAATAAAAGTATTAAACAAAACAAACATAAAAAATGATTCCCAGAAGCCTTACGAAAAGAAAGAAAGAAAGAAGGAAAAAAAATGCACAAAACAGGTAAAAAAAGGAAGCCAAATCTAAGGAAAGAGAAACGGAAAATAAAACTACAAAACAAAACAAATATAAAAAATGAATCCCAAAAGCCTTACGAAAAGGAAGAAAAAAAGAAGGAATGAAGAAGTCTAGAACTTTCGCAATGAGAAAAAAAAGGCAAACCAAACAAAATTTTTTTTTTGTAAAAGAACCCTAAAAAGTGAAAAATACCTAGGCGGCAAAAAATGGAGAAACAACAAAAATTTTCAAAGAAAAGCCCATAAACATAAAATGGGGAAAAAACTTAGAATCAAAACACAATAAACCAGAAGAAACCATAACGAAAATGAAGAGGACGTGTAGAGAAGAAACGAAGAAAAGGAACTTCAGCAAAAGGGACAACAAAAGCTAAGAGATTAAGGCGTAGAAACAGAAACAAAAGAAGCAGGAAGCTTCTCGAGGACGGTATTAAACCCAGAAACCTCACCAAAAGCAAGAGAGAGAAAAAGGAAAAAAATAAATGGACATAAATGTAGAAGTCCAGAACTTTCGCAATGAGAAAAGAAAGGCAAACCAAACAATCACTTCAGTGAGACTGTATTCCGAAGGATAAGACAAAAATACCCAAACAAAAACAAAAGCAAAAATAAGCATCCAAGGATAAAACGGTAAAAATAAAAATTTAGGACACAACTGGAATTTTTCCAAACCAAAGGATAAGACAAAATCACCCAAACAAAGACCAAACAAAAATAAGAAACTAAGGATAAAACGGTAAAAACACAAACTTAGGACACAGCCGAAATTTTTCGAAAGAAGAGGGAGAGGAAGGACCGGGCACTGTTCTAAGAACAGTAACCCGGGTACCTCCTTTAGTAGTATGTATAATAATAATATGGTGCTTAGCATATTTCTTCTCTTTAATAGAAACTTATGTATTATCTCCAAAGAAAAACATGCTCCAAGTTCATTACAGTTGCATTTGATTTGAGGGTTTTAAAATTAGGAATTATGATTCTGGTTCAAATTTTTATTTATTTATAAAAAGTAAAAAATGGTTCTTGAAACTTAGTGTTTAGTTTGGATGGTTCCGGTTTAAGGTTTGAATCCTGATGTGATGTTTTAAATCAGAACCACCCAAAAAAATATTTCCCCTTCCCCTTTTGATTTTGGATGATTCAAACATCTGGTTCTGATTCCGGTTCCAGAACTATGACTTGGACCCCAAATTCAAACTATTAATCACGATTCTAGTTGTAAAACTAAAACCACATTAATTTGAACTCTGATACCAAACGCCATGCAGAATCTAGATGGTGGCCCAAATTCGGGCCCATGTTAAGCATCTCACTGAGGATTCCAAAATGCTCCTCAAGACCTTTGAAGTAAGGATGCGTTTTGTTGCAGTGGGAGAATGATAATGAGAATGAAAATGAGAATAGTAATGGAATAAAATGGAAATGAAAGATGATTCATTTGTTTGCTTCTACTTTTACAAATGTAATAAAATGAGATGAATATTTTCATGTTAAAAAAATTACCCCTCATGCTAATATAACTAATATCATATATATTAATATAATCATTTAATAACTAATATTATATATATAAAATTATAAGGATATAGTATATATAATTATAATTATAGTTATATAATATTTATTATTATAATACAATCATAATATATAATATATAATATAATAAAATAATGATATTATTATTATTTTATATTATAACGTTACAACTATATTATATTATATTATTAGAAATATAGTATAGTTATAAAAATATAATAATATAATATAACATATTATAATTATAATATATAATATA